GGGGGGGGGGGGGGGGGGGGGCAGGGTAACCGATTCTACTGAATGCATGCCTGGCTGGCAATCTGCAGCAACAGCTAGTAAGAGAAAAACATGATCATAAGTCCATGACCATTACCATTACATTCAACTCCTTAAACATGATCAAAACCATCAAATTTAAAGGAAAACAAGTGAGAATTCTTAAATTAAAACTCAGAAAGGAAAAGCTAGATTAAAACCTGATGAACCCCATTGATTTGGGTACAAACAGCTGTTGTATGACTGAACAAAATTTTCTTAAGAATAAGGTGTGGATGCAGGTCTTAGAGCAAGTTTCATCTCATCCAGGTATCTTTGTGCCTCTTGTCTATCAACTTCAAGAAATTTAACATTGTCAAAAGAATCACGTAGTTAGCTAGAACATGATCAAGAGAGGACAAAAATTTATTAGATTGCTAGAACAAATACCTCATCAAAGAACTCATCTGGCCCAGGCAAAGTACAGTTAGCTGCCACAAACAAAAGACAGGTCAAAATAAATTAGTGTGATTGCAACAACTAAAGCAACCAATGAGATAAGAAATTAAACCATACCTGTCATTTCATTAACTGTGTCAGCTGGTACCTCCTTCCCCATCTCTCCAAATCTTTTAGCAGCACGCAACTCCAGCTCCTCTGGTTCTGGGAAAACCACAATAGCTACCAGATTAAGAGATGGAGCATATATTCAAAGCAGAAACCAAGAAGGAGAAGCTACGAAACGTTTTACTCTGTATATGTTTCTCATAGATGCAGGAAATAACAATACCAAATGGTCTCTGTATATGTTTCCCAGAATGGTGAACATTTCAATTTAAAGGAAATAACATTTGTTTGATCAATAACATAATTGTGAGGTATCATGGCAGCCCTTGGTAAGAGGGCATTCAAAATTTGATTTGCTAGTCTGATCAGACAATCAAATCATTCACCATAGTTCCTCTTACATAGCAACCCAGGCACCTGTAAAAGCAGCACAAAACAAGACAGAGCAAAGGGATCAGGAAAAAGTAGAAAGGGAAATCAATAATATTATCTGGTTGCTTATGGTGAAGAAGGTAAACATACCTTCATTTGGTCCAGAAACAAGATTGTTCCAAGCAAAACATAATGCTTCTCAGGATGCTCTTTCACCCATTTCTCTGCACAAGTGCTCTTGCCAGAAGCTGGTAATCCTAGTATCCTACCATCATCATAACTTCACAATCTCTCACGCTAGAAAGCATAGATCCCATTATTGCATTTCCATCCTCAAGAGAAGCTGCCCAAGGCTTAAATCCTTCTTTGAGAACCGGTCCATCTTCAACACTAAACTGCAGTTGAACCACAACATTTTTTAACAGAATGTGAGGAAAGATTGCTGATTCCCACTGCAGCATCCTAGTTGGAGAATCAACCACCACAAGACCATCAGGACCAGCATTAAATTGCATTGCAGTACCTAACCATTTACCATTCTTGGAAAACCCAATGGAAGCCAATGGCTTGGTCTCTAGATCTACAGCACAAACAATCGTATCTCCAGTGCTAAACTTTTCACCATAGTCAGAAAATTTTCTAGAAGTCAAAAATTTCCCTGTTCCACCAAACCCAAAGCTGTGGTCAGTTTTCCCAAGATTCCCCACTGGCATCATCACCCCTTGAAATTCCAAGACAGCAAAACATGCTGCTGATCAGGTGGTGTATCTTCCATTTTCACTGCCTGAGCAGAAAGGATTTTGCAACCAAAACAATACTTCCCTCCAGTAATTCCAACATTCACACGAGCACCAGACCAACAATAGGCAAAACCCTGCTCATGGAGTGCTGAGCCCTAAAGACCATCTTCTTCAATATTAAAATCTGGAGACAACACAACAAATACATGTTAGACATCTATAGAAATCTTTCTTCTAGGTTTCAAGACTACAATTGGACATACGCTATGAAACTCATGGTCTCTTTGGTCTGCAGCAAAAATTTTCAGAAAATCATAAGTAAAAGAACTCACTAATATTTACATGAGAAGAAAAATATTTAGAGATACCCTTTTTCCTTTTAGGAAAAACGACTTCTGCTTCCAACCAAGGAAGTTGTTTTCCAAAAAAGGAAGAAAAATATGCTCTATTCAGCTCTCACACTCAGTACTTCCTATCCTATGTACACCCTACCAAGTTACCGAAATTTCCCAGAACTAATTCATTTTTCACAAACCAAACAATAAAAAATTTTGCATACCCCCCAATAACTCCCATTCCATTGCTTAATTTCTTTGTATTTCAAACACCATAAACACCAATTAACACATGGAGCAAAACAACTAGGTCATCTCTTTTCAGTGTTCTCCAACAGTTCTAATCTCCTTAATCTATAAAACAACCCTACATGCAAACAACAAACATAGAAATTCTTAAAAGGAAAAACAACTAAATTCTCAAACTCGAACAAATTCAACAAAATTGTAAACCTAATTATGAAAGACTTCTCCTACCCTAGGGTTTCAGAATGAATGGAATTAAAATTCATCGAAGAACAAGAAAAAGATTAGAACAGAAAGGCGCTCAAAGGAGATATACCTAAGTCATAGTCAGCAGGATTGAGAACCACAAGGTGCTTCTTCGTCTGCTCATCGTCATCGGATTTCGTTTTCTTGACCTTCGGTTCTTGTTCTTGCCCTGGTTCTTCTTCTCTGGGAATATCGCGTTTCGTTGGAGCCATACATAGACTGGGGTTTCTTTGTCCTTGAGCAGAGGGAGGGAGTGAAGAGAGAGCGCGAAACGAGAACGGTAAACCTGTGCGACACCGATACACTCCGTCCGTTAACTTGCCTTTTTTTATATTAAAAAAAAAATTAGGACATAAAAATTTTTTTG